GACTAGACCTAAACGTTGCCTTTCGTTTTGTGCTCGTTTTGTTTGTCGTTTCGCTCTACCTGTTTTCCTGTACCTCCATGCCAAAACGAAAAACGAAACACAGCCGAAGTCCAGCAAAACAGCGTTTAGATCCAGCCCTGACCGATACCGCTCCTCCGGGAGTTCCAGGCGAGGCCGTGATCGCACAGCATCGTCGATGCATCGGCGATGCGCTGGCGACGTCGGCGATGCATCGGCGACGCCAGCGAGGAGAAAATCTGACTCCACATCAAGCCGCATGGATGCATCAGCGATGCGGCGCGATCCTCCGACCCCATCTGCTCGGACCCCTGTCTGGGAGTCCCAGGTGTGCCTCTCCTGGGGTGGGTTCGCGCATGCCCCCCTTTTGCGGGCCTGAAGCCCGTCCTGCGCTTCGAGCGGCCGTGCGGGCGCTACGCCATCTGCGGCAACTCATGGGAGCAGTCTATGCCACCTTGCTGGCTCTTGCGACTCCACGCTGACCGATGCGAACAGACGCGAATCGACGCTACATCGACGCTGAATCGACGCTGATCGACGCCACATCGGCGCTTCCCCATCGATGACCAGACGCTCGCGCACGCCAGTGCACTCTGAAAACAGAACTGCGAAGACGCACAAGGCTCCCACGATTTGCAGCCGAATCCGTGGCGACTCTGGCCGTGGCGACGAGGAAGGGCAGCGGCCTTGGTATATATCTTCTAAGGGCACCAAAAACGGTATAAACGAAGTTTCTCCGAGGCCCGCCCGGATTGCTTGGATCGGCGCTGGACCCCACTCCTCAGCGCGCGGAGCGCGCCAGGGGCGGCGCCCAAGGCGCCGCCAAGGGGGCCCCAGCGCCGATCCAAACAGTCCGCGCAGAGCTCCAAAAGTTTGTGTTTATGCAGCTAACTTTCTGGATGCCACGACTATGGACACCCTAACAGCCCTGTCATCGAATTTAACATGTGCGTAACATGTCGGAAAAGTGCTCTGGAAATGTGTAAAACATGTTGCTTACATGTTAAAACAAGTTTAACACACTTTCTAGACATCCGGAAATGAGTTGGCAACATGCTTCTTCTCGATTGATCGTCCTCCACAGAGCTAGCTCTTCGTCGACCTTCCTCTCCCGAGGTGTACGGATGCCCCCCCCCCCTGCAGGCCTGAAGCCCTTCCTGCGCCTCGCGCGGCCGCGCGGGCGCTCCGCCTGCTCCCCGCGCTCCAGCGCGGCCAGCCGCTGCAGCACCCCGAACTGGAAGCGCCGGCGGGCGGACAGGGGCTCCTGTCGGGGCGATCGAGACGGGTACAGTGGGGGCCTTGACCTAAGGAACCCTAAATAAGGAACGAGGCCCCTTTTTGCTCCATAAGTTAACCTTCGATTTCCGATCGAAAACATAAGGGAAACCTGAGGCAAGCTGCGAAACACTTCAGGCACGCGGAGCCCTTCCCCAACGAAAAGGGTTCCTTCTTCAGGGCCCCGACTGTACGAAAATCCGCCGACCCTGTCGGCGTGTGGGAGGGGCTTCTCCGTCTTCCCCACAGCGTGGTCGCCTCTTCTACTTTCCGCGGGCTCCCTGCACAAGTGCATAGAAAAATTGAACAACGTCGTCCTTCAGTCGAAAAGAAGCCCCTTCCCTTGATCCCTTCCCCACCGAGGGGGGGTGTCCCGGGGCAACTCCCGGGAAGGGGGGGGGTCCTGGGGGGGGGGGCCCCCTTGGACCCGCCTCTCATCCTCCTGCGTCCTGGGGCTTCGTTGGCCCTCCGGGGCCGTCTGCGGGCCCTTTCAGCATATCTTCAGGCTCCTTGGAGGCATTTCGCCATTTTTAGACTCTATTGGCAGCCCCGGGCAGCACTCTTGACAGCCTCTGCGGGTGCTTCTGGACATCGCTTGACGCCGTCTCGGAACCCTCTCGGGCCACTTGAGGGCGCCCTTTGCCTATCTTGGCATTCTGTGGAGCCGTTCCCGAACCCTGCAGGAGGCCTCTTGAGCTGTCTTCGGACGACCTTGCAGGCATCTGGCGCCGTCTTCGAGCCATCTGAGGGCATCTTGGACTCCTCTACCTCCATTGTCTTCGTCGTCGCTGCCTACAGGGTCGGCGGCATCGGCCGTAAGGCCTTCGCAACAGTGGGAACGAAACCGACAGCAACCCCTGCTCATCTTGAACAGGACACGCTGTCGGTGTCTCGGGCCGGGCGAAAGGGGGGGATAGCAAAGGGGGGGGTTGAGAATCAGCTCACGTAGCTGATTTTCCCGGCGCCCATGTATCGAGGAATGGGCCCCTCGGTGGGGCCGAAACCAGCTGCATGCAGCAGATTTCGTCACCCCCCCTTTCCGAATCCCCCCCTTTTGTCCGGCCCGATCATCTTGAACAGGACACGCTGTCGGTGTCGCCGCGGACGTCGTCCATCTTCGGCAGAAGTCGGGGGGGGGACGAAAGGGCAGGATAGCAGAGGGCAGGGTAGAGCATCAGCTCACGTGGATGGTTTCCTAGCGCCTCCCGGCGCAGGGAGGCGCCCTCGTATCGAGGGATGGGCCCGGCGGCGGGGCCGAAACCAGCTTCATGCAGAAATTCGTACCCCCCCTTTCCCAAGCCCACCCCTTCGTCTGGCCCGAAGAAGGCCGCCCGCACGACGGCGGCCGCTGCCAGCTCTGTCGGTAGTTCAAAGATGGGGTCCTGAAGGATGGGGTCCTAAGGTTAGGAAGGGATCCAAGGGTGGATTTACAAGGTCCGAGGCACCTCGCCCTCGGGACCCCACCCCTCAGAGTCCCATCTCTGAACCACCAACTTTGGGCAACCTCTGCTGCTGGGCATCGTGCCCGGCTCGGGCGTCCGAGTCTTGGGAGGGCCGCCCGTCTGGCGGCGGGCGAGGAGGCCCGAGCAACGGGCAGCCCGGAACACAAACGAGCCGGCTAGGTCGCTCTCTGCAGGCATCTTTGAAGGGGCCCTGGGACACACAAATAGACACACACACACACACACACACACACACACACACACACACACACACACACACACACAAATAACAGGATTCCCCACAGGTTCCCATATCTTCTGGGTTTTTCTCTCCCCCCCACTCCCCACATGTTCCCATAGTTTCGGCGGAATCGACGACTCATTGCGTCGGTGTGTCTTCTTCCCACCTGCATCTTGCCGCCGGGGAGGCACGCTCCCAGGCAGGCGAGGGTCAGGGGGACGTAAGACCCGGGTACAGGGGACTCGGAAATCCCCGACGAGGTCGTCACAAAAATGACGAGGCCGAGCCTGCATTTTGACGAGGCCTCCCGCTGCAGACATCCCACGAAACTCCTCCTCGTCAAAATCCGAGGCGCGGTCGTCAAAAAACGATGGCGAATCCTAGTCCTGGCAAACCCGGGTCTCACGCTCCCCCGAGAGGGGGCTCGTCGGGCCACGGCGAGCCTCGGCCACGAACGGGCTCCCCGGCCCCGGAGCTCCGGGGAACGGGCCGCGAAAGCTGCAGCCCCTCCCGGTGGCCGAGGGCGGCCCCTGCCTCGGCGCCTCGGCCGCGGCGTCCGCGCGCCCGCGTGCGCCCCCACCGCTGAGCACGAAGGACAGGAGACGGACGGAGCCCCCTTTCGCAAAACGTGGGCCAGCGAGAACGACCTCGGGCCCCAAGCCTGGCGGGCGCCAGCCTGGGAAAGACTGACGTGACGGCCGCGGCGCCCCCTCGGGAGCCGGGAGCGGGCAGTCCACCAATCGACGTCTCGGGGTGGGGCTTCTGCTCACCCCCCGGGGGGAAGGGATCGAGAGGCCCGGGGGCGCAGCACAGAAGCCATGCGCCAGCCCCAGGCACCGCGCTTGGGCACGACTGCCGCCACAGAGCCGGGTCTCCGGCAGGACGCCCGCGGCCCTGCGATGGTGATAACGCAGACGACAAGAAGCGCCCGGCTGCCTCGAGAAACCGAGCCGCGGGGCGCCTGGGGGGGCCGTCGTGGCAGGCCCAGGAGGAGGCCGATGGCTTTGGATCAACAAACGCGTTACAAGTTGAACGCAACGTGGAGATCGCGCCAAATCTGGGGGGGGGGGGGGCAAAGCGGGCCCTCTCCAACCGCCGCACTACGAATATCAGAAAGAAAATCAAAACATAAAAATTGACCTCCAAACTTTCTGCGATTGGTCAGAGCTGAGGAGGAGGCCCTCGGCCGGTCCTGGGGAGGTCTCGGGCCGGCTCGGAGAAGGCTTCGCGCGGGGCGGGCCCGGGCGCCGGGGACCTGCGGCAGGTCCGGCCCACGCGGCGGCGAGGCCCCCCCCCCGGAGAGGAGGGCAGGGCGGCCCGTCAGTCGCCGCTGCCTCGGCCTCGTGAGGTCGGAGGGCCCACGGAGACTGGCATTGGGTCGGGCCTGTCCCCCTACAGGCTGATTTTGGACCAGAATCTTCAAACCAACCAAAAAAAAGGCCAGAAAAGATTCGAAGATACGCAAAAATGGTCGAAGCACCGTCCCCAGAGCACTTTTGCACGATTTCTGGACTCTTCCCCCTATGTAAGAGGCACAGGCCCGACTGGACACTGGCAGACCGGGGCTCCTCCAGCTCCCGGTTCTCGCTCCGCGAGGGGGCCAGCAGCTCCGAGCTCTCGTCGCCCCACGCCTCGAGGGGCGGCGGGTCGTCGTAGTCCCCCCCCCGCGCGTAGCCGTGGTGGGCGGGGGCCGCCCAGGCCAGGGCCGACTCCACCGCGCGCTGGCGCCGGTCCTTTGCGGCGGCGCGCACGGAGAGGGGAGGGGAGGGGCAAGAGGGAGGGAAGCGGCAGGGTTAAGTCGGGCGTGCCCCCCTGCAGGCAGAAGTTGGACGACAAATAAAAAACAGTCAAAAAATAATTCCAAAAATGCAGAAATCAAATAGTTTAAAAGAATATAATATTTTGTATGTATATATATAGATAATCCCCATACGATTTGTTTTACTATTTGGGAATATTCCACCTGTAGAGGGACAGGCCCAGCTGAACGGCGGGGAGGGGAGGGGCTCGGGAGGGGCGGCACGGAGCTCGAACCGGCGACACGTCGCGGATAGATAGATCGGCGGAAAGCCCCCGAGAGCGCATCCGCAGGCTCCTGGGCGGGGTGGGCTGTCAGGCCCCTTGTGTCGGCGATCAGTGGGCGAGGGAGGTCGACGCGTCCCCCCCCCTGCCCCCGAGTGAGAGGGGCGCGGGAGGGGCGGCGGCCTTGTCCGAAGGCCCCGCGCCATGGTAGAGTCCGCACACGTCGCGTTCGCCCCGTCGCTTTCGCCGGGATCGACTTCGCTGGCGGTCGCCTTCGCTGGCGGTAGCCTTTGACAGGGAGCGCTTTCGCAGACGGTCGCTTTCGCAGACGGTCGCTTTCGCCGGCGGTCGACTTCGCTGGCGGTCGCTGCCGCCAGGATCGCCTTCGCCGGGGCCTCCTACAGGCGGATGTTCGAAGGAGAAAAAAAGTCAAAAGAGAACGGAAAATCGCCACCAGACTATCTGTACTGTTCTCCTTGTGTCCCTTCTGGCAGGCCCGTCGCCAAAAATCGCCCCGTGTCCCTTCTGGGAGGCCCTTGGCCTCCTCAGGAGGGCGCCCTCCATCGCCGTGCCCCCCGAACGCAAGCCGCCCACGGCCGGCCGCTCCACCCCTCCCGGGCTCTATCTTTGAGTAACCAGAGAAGGACCCCTAACCATTTGGGAGGAGACCTAAGTCAGGAGGGCCAACAACCTTAGGGATAGAGGGGGTCGTCTTCTCTGCAGGTGTAGCTGACCAAACGGCCAAGCATGGCTGTCCCTAGTGCGAAGACGGGGACCTCAGTGAGGCCACGTCTTCATCGTGTTATCCGGGCTCGGGGTACTTTTGTGCTCGATGAACCCTGGCCCGTTTTCTAGGCCGCGCGCAGCCGTGGCCCATGGCGACGACAGTCTGCGGAGACGCCCGAAGGCCTCCGCGCCGATGGCGGCGGCGACGGAGGAAGGGAGGTCTGCACAGGCACGAGCTCTCGGAGGACCGCGCCGGCTTCGTTGGTCTTCAACGGAGCCCCCTCCCCTAGTGCGCGGAGCGCGCCAGTCCCCCTCCGGCGCCGCAGGAGGGTCCAGCGCGGATCCAAGAAATCCGCGCGGACCTCCAAAAGTGTTGCTCGGCGCGGAGACCCACCAATCCCTGTAGGGCGCAGGTGGTTGAGGGCGCATACACTTCCAGCACCCCTCTTCCCTTTGGGGGAGGGGGTTCTCCCTCTTTCTACCCCCTGCATCCAAAAAACTTCTGGCCCACGGAGGCACCCCGAGCTCCCCAAATGATGCCGCGCTTCCCCACATGATGGCAGATCCCCTGGGGGTCCTGGAAGGACTGGTGCAGATAGGCGACGCATTAATCCTTTCCGTCGTCTTCTTCTACGAAGTCGTCAGGGGATAGCTGCTCCGTGTCAGCGCAGCGCTGCAGCAGGGGGAAGACACGGGTGAAGACCCCGGCGAAGCACCTGCCTTGAAGTGGCTGCTCACCCGGTGTGCCTACGAGGCTCGACGACGCCACGCTCGACCGCAGCCCTGCCGAAGACGACGAATGTCTCGCATCCCCCCCCTCTCTCTTCGGGAGCGGCCAAGAGGGGGGTCAGCGCTCGGCGGGGGGGCCAGGGACGCAATGAAATAAGAAGAGGCGCCACATAATCTGGGGAAATATCATGGCCCCCGCCATGATATCCAACCCCCCCTAGTCATCACCCCCCTCTTTTCCGCCCCCTTTCTCTCTCTCTCTCTCTCTCTCTCTCTCTCTCTCTCACCACCACGCACCCTGGGGCAGGAGTGCAGCGCCCACCGGAGGCGCGCCCCGAGGGGGGACGCAGGAGGCGGCGCGCCTCTCTCGGAAGGCTCGGAGGGCCTCTGGCCTCCCGAGGTGCGACGCGCAGGGACATGCTGCTACCAAATGTCCTCCTTGGAGGCGCGCGTCCGACCCGAACATATAGTAGACCCGTCTTGCAGTATATCGCTTCCCGAGCGGTGTGGCCAGAAAGCGCCCGCCACGACGCATGTACTCTAAGATTTCTCGGTGCGCGCGTCGCCCCCAAGGGGGCGACGCAAAAATAAAGTAAGTATGCTGGGGTGACGTCGACGAGAGGCTGCCCAGGCCTCCCCGGAAGCCACCGAGCAGCCTCCCTCTGGAAGCCGCGCGGAGGGCTCCCAGGAAACGCCCCGCCGCCTCCCGAGGAGGCCCGCCCCCGTCCACCCCCCCGCGGCGCGCCGCCGCGCCCCGTGCAGAGGGTGAGGGAGGGAGGGAGGGAGGGAGGGAGGGAGGGAGGGAGGGAGGGAGGGAGGGAGGGAGGGGAGGGAGAGAGGAGGAGGGGGAGCGCGCCGCCGAGCCCCGAGCAGAGGCGGAGGTCCTCCGCGCCGTCCGCCTCCTCGAGGTGCGGGCCCTCCTCGCCCTGGGCGTCGTCGGCCGCGCCCGGCGGGCCGCCCCCGGTCCGGGGCACCGCGAGGGACGCGAGCCGTCTGCACGCCGGGCGGGGCGGCGAGGCCGTGCTCGGGGACGAGGGCGCCGAGCCCCTCGGCGGCGCGGAAGGGGGGGGGGGAGGGGATGGAGGAGGGGGATGGAGGAGGGGATGGAGGAGAGGAGGGGGGAGGAAGAGGAGGAGGAGGATGGGGGAGAGGATGGAGGAGGAGGAGGAGGAGGAGGAGGAGGAGGAGGAGGAGGAGGAGGAGGAGGAGGAGGAGGAGGATGGGGGAGGAGGATAGGGGATGGGGGAGAGGATAGAGGAGGAGGAGGAGGGGAGGAGGAGGAGGGCACCAGGAGGGCGGCGAGAAGGAAAGAGTGAGGAGGGGCAGGGAGGAGGAGCAGGAGGAGGGGGAAAGGGAGAGGATGGACGAGGAGGAGGGGGCACGGGGAGGAAGGCGGGAGAGGAAGGATTGCGGGGAGTGGAGGAGCAAGGCAGGAGGGAGGAGCGAGGAGGGAAGGGAGAGCTGAGACTGGCGATGAAGTGAAACTGAGACATGCGCAGGCAGCACGTACAAAATTTGACGAGGGGCGGCGGTAGGGGTTGAACCCATGCGGGAGCAGGAGGCGCACACTACACATTTGCTTCCCCCCTCCCCTACCCCTGCCCCATCACCCCCCTCCTCGCCCCCTCCTTTTCTCCCTCATCCTCCTCGTCTATATAATCGTCCTCGTGGTTGTTCCTCTTCCTCCTCCTCCTCCTCCTCCTCCTCCTCCTCCTCCTCCTCCTCCTTCTCCTCCTCCTCCTCCTCCTCCTCCTCCTCCTCCACCTCCTCCAGGTCCTGCCCCCCTACCCCGTATCATACTCATGCAGTTCCTCATTATGTTTATCCTCATCCTCATCATCATCAGCAGCAGCATCATCACCAGCATCAGCATCATCATCATCATCATCATCATCATCATCATCATCATCATCAGCATCATCAACATCATCATCATCACCACCACCACCATCATCATCATCATCATCATCATCATCATCATCATCAGCAGCATCAGCATCATCATCATCATCATCATCATCAGCCGCATCAGCAACAGCTGCATCATCAACATCAGCAACATCATCATCAGCAGCGTCATCAGCATCATCAGCATCATCAGCAGCATAAGCATCATCATCATCATCATCATCCTCGTCATCAGCAGCATCATCGTCATCATCATCATCATCATCATCATCATCATCATCATCATCATCATCATCATCAGCACCACCATCATCATGACCATAATTTTCGTCAGCAGCATCATCATCAGCATCATCAGCATCATCAGCGCTATCATCAGCATCACCATCATCATCAGCATCATCGTCATCATGATCATCGTCATCATCATCATCAGCAGCAGCACCATTATCATCAGCATCATCATATCAGGATCACCATCATCATAAGCATCACCAGCATCATCATCAGCCGCCTCATCATCATCATCATCATCATCATCATCATCATCATCAGCATCATTATCATCATCATCGACATCGGCATCATCGGCCTCATCATCAGCAGCATCATCATACTCATCAGCATCATAATCGTCAGCATCAGAATCAGCATCAGCATCATCATTACCGTCATTGTCATCATCAGCATAATCAGCATCAGCATCATCAGCAGCGTTGTCCTCCTCATCAGCATCAGAATCATCATCAGCATCAGCATGATCATCGGTATCATCATCGTCATGATCATCAACAGCATCATGATCATGATCATGATCATGATCACCACCACCACCACCAACATCATGCTCCTCAACATCATCATCATCATCAGCAGCAGCAGCATCAGCATCATCATCATCATCAGCATCATCATTATCACAAGTATCCACATCATCCGCATCAGCATCAGCATAATCATCACCATCCTCGCCAGAATCAGCAACATCATCAGCAGCATCAGCATCATCATCATCATCATCGCCATCGCCACCGCCATAGTCATCTACATCACAACCACCACCACCATCGGCAGCATCATCAGCATCACCTGGAGCAGCATCAGCATCACCACCACCACAACCACTGGCACCAGCAGAGTCCTTACCAGCATCATCATCACCACCATCAGCATCACCATGAGCATCACCATCATCAGCGCCATCACCTTCGCCATCGCCATCGTCCTCAACATTATCACAACCACCGTTCATCCCCAGCGATAGCAGCATCGATGTCATCAGCAACACCGACATCATCAACATCATCATCATCATCATCATCATCACCATCATCATCACCAGCAGCATCATCATCAACGACATGATCAGACTCACCCACATCACCAGCATCATCAGCAGCGGTATCACTGGTATCAACACCTGCATCAACATCCGCATCATCGTCGGTACCAGCACCAACCTCATCATCATCGTCGCGACCTTTCCATCGCGGTACGATGCGTAGCGGCAACAGTTGCGAGGAATCATAATGGCTGAAGCACTAATAGTAGCACTGCTGGTGACCAGCTCACTGCGCATTAATTCTCGCAGCATTCGCGTCATTGGCGTTACTCGTCGGAGCGTTGGGGCCGAACGGTTTTACTCTGTTTAAGGATGTGTGGCTGAAGCACGGCTCAGTAATGCGGATTCCTGTTTTCTTTTTGATATTATTGATATCGGCGCCGCCCCGCGACCCAACCGCGATCCGCCCCACGACCCACCCACGACCCGCCCCACGACCCGCCCCACGACACCCCCGCGACCCACCCGCGACCCGCCCGGCGACCTACTTCCGACCCGTTACACGCCCGCGACACGCCCCACGACCCGCCCCGAAACCAGCCCGAGACCAACGCACAACCCACCAGCGGCCCGCCGCACGATTCGCCCACCGACACACCGAAGACAAATCTACGACACACCCCAACTGCTTCGACAACCAGATCGTCGCCTGCGGCGGACTCGTTGCGCAACGTGGTATACATCGGCTTCTGCAGCGTTTCTTGATCACATTTGACTGCAAGCCTCGCAAACTGCCCACGACTCCCCCGCTCCCCCGTCCCCTCACTCTGATCCGCAACAGCGGGGGCGCTAGGGTATTATCCGCACTGTTCCAATGCGAATTCGCAAACATTATATAACCATCACCCTTGTCATCGCCACCCTTATCACCAGCCTGGTCACGATAGTACAGGCGCTTTCCCATCTCATCTTACCATCAAGACAGCAGAAACAAATCCGACTGGGAACCGATCCGCGTGACGACGCGCAGAGTGGATGATCGTGGTCGCGGCCACGAAGGGTGCCTCGTCGCAGTCGCCGTCGCAGCCATCGCCATCATCTCCGCATCCATGGCGATGCCATCCGTGGCCACTCTGGCTCAACCCTACTTTCCATATCCCGGTACCCGGCGTCGGCCAAAGACGACGATCGGGGCGCCCTGTCTGGGCTCCGCGACCTGCCAGGTGAGGCAACCAGACCGCTGAACCGTCGCAAGGTCGACCCCGCGAGCGCGGACTCCGATGTTGTCCACGCCCATGCGGTTGCTGCCTGCCCCCCGACGTCGCTGCATCAGCGCAGGCGCTGCGTGCGACTCGGCCCCAGGCACCGCAGACACGTCAAACAATGGGATACAGGCATCGCCCCGTCATGGCGGCACTCTCGCGCGCACCGCGGGCGAGGCGCATGACGCGGCGCTCGCACCGCAAGCGCGTAACACAAAAAAATCGGAATGCGGGCATCGCCTCGCCATCGAATAGTCATCGCCGGCGCCGCGGGGGCAGTCGACTTCTCCGCGCGGGCGCTGCGCGCGGCCACGCAGGCACCGCGGGCACGCGAAAGAACAGGGCGCAGGCATATTCGCGCGATCGCGCTTTTGGCGCAGGCACCGCGGGCACTGGCTTCTCTCAGGGCAGGCACCACCCGTGGCAAAACGTAGCACGTCACATAATGGGGTGCAGACGTGGCCCTGTCATCGCAGGCACCGGCGCAGGCACGCCAGGCATTGCATCCCTCGGCGCAGGCGCGCCACCCAGTCTGGGGCAACAAAATCCTGCCAGCCCTCTGGGCGACAGGCGGTCAGATCTTTCTTCCCTCTTCCAAAAAATCCCTTCTTCGCCTTCGGGGAGGGGTTTACCCCTCCCCCTACCCCCTCCCCTGGACCTGGACGGGGGGGCCGCGAGGGGTTAGAGGGTCCTTTTCGCCCGAGATGGCTCCAAGAGGGGAATCCTTAAAACAACCCAAGGAAAAAACAATGAGTTGTGCCTTCTCGCTTTCTCCCTTCCAATGCATTTTTTAATGCGTCAAGGTGCCCCCAAGATGGCCCAAGAGAGCTCCAAGAGCGGCCCAAAGATGCCCCCAAGACGGCCCCAAGACCGCCCAAGAGCGCCCCAAGAGAGGCCCAAGAGCGTCCCAAGAGGCTATATTGATGGCCCCAGAGGGGGGACCAAACCACTGCCCCGAACGGGGCGCCGCGCCCTCCGCGGGGGGGCGAGCGCAGGGCGGGCAGGGTCGGGGGCGGCGGAGGTTCGCGCGCACACCACTGGGCGCGAAGGAAAAAAGGAACGTCTGATTTGGCCTATTGCGCGTCTGCGGGCTGCGAGTTCATCCGCCACAATGCCCTGATGCACGAGTCGGAGTAATCCCTCGAGCCTCAGTCCTCGGTCCTGAGGTTTCTTCAAGGGCCCAGACTCCGGATTCACAAATCTCGCAGGCCTTGCCGCGTGCCCTCAGGGCCCCCTGGCGTCTTCCCGCGTGACTTTGCCGAGCACACGAGGGCCCCAAGACGGGCCAAGAGCGCCCTAAGAGGCCCCCAAGACGGACCAAGAGCGCCCTGAATCGCCGAACACTATGTCCAAGACGCCCCAGATGGCCTCCAGTCGGCCGAACAAACGCCCAAGACGTCCCAAGAGGCCTCGGAGAGCGTTCCCCCCCAAAAAACAACGCAAGAGCCACAAAACATTAATTTTCTACAGGTTCGTCAATCGGTTTTTATCTTTCGAAGTTCTGGCGCTCCAACACGTCCCAACAGGCCCCCAAGACCGCCACAAGACGGCCCCAAATAGGGCCCCAAGATGGCCCAAGAGCCGCCCAAGACGGC